ACTCGCATATCACTTTACTGCTTGTCGCAATTCTATTGTCTTTTTAACAGCGAAGCTTTTCAAACTTTATCATAATATTGTATAAATTGTGCGGCAAAATTTGAATGATTAAAGTCAGAATTCGAAACGGATGGACCTCAGCATCTAGTTGCAGTTGGCTTATATTCGATTTCGCCACATACATCACGTTTCTCAAAAACTGACTAAAAATAAGATATAAACTAATTAGCTACTGAAACCTTGTCAGCCTTTATCTGATGCATTTTTTTGGATTCCTTTTTCTGTTTTTTTTTTTTTTACTTCAACCGCAAGGTGGGAAAGTCATTAAAAAAATGTGCATACGGCAATTAACTGCAAGTACTTCACAGACGAATCTTCACCGCTGAAGAAACGACTTTGCCAACGAAAAGGCTAGCAGAGTGGGCAAACGTATACATACATATAAATGTACATGTTTTTTTGCTTAAATATACATACAAAATATATGCAAATATTTTAAAGTTTTTCTATGTGTTGATGCATGTGCAAAGGCGGCGAAGATAAATATTTGTTAAGGTTACATTTGAAGGATATCCACATCGTATGTACATCGCTATGAGTGTACTACGTTAGGGTGGTGATTTTGCTTCGAAGAAAATAATTTAAATATTTGAATAAATGGATTTTAATGTTGAAGACAAAATGCAATTTAAAGAGAAAGAGTTGAACTCAGTGAATTAGTTTCGTAACAAATAAATGGTTTTTGCGTGACATATTATGGATTAGGTAAAGACATGTTGAAACGAGAAAGTTTCTATAAAAGGAAAATAATGAAGTATTAGAAAATTATTTTCACCTAATTTTTGTTGAACAATATTGTTTTTGTATTTTATGAATTTTAATATTTTTAAATAAAGGGTGATCTATTTTGAGGTTCCCTACTTCTTAGAGAAATAAACATAGAAAATTCAAATTTAATGGAGAATTTTTTATTATCATTCGAACATTCAATGGCATTTATTTGTAGAAGATTTTCTCTTTCAAATGTTCGCTGCGGCTACGTCTCTTATGGTTCATCCGTTGAATCTCATTGTCTTGCATTTCTAGCAATTTGCCTGGTAACTGGCGAATAACAATGGCGATATTTGGCTCCAAGCCCTGACTCCAAGCGGAATTGTTCGCATAGACTTTAGACTTTACATATCCCTATGGGAAAAGATACAGCTATGTAAAATCACACGATCTTGGTGGCCAATCGTTCAAAAAACGTGAAATTATTTGCTCACCGAAGTTCTCTCTCGATACATCCATTAATTGTTGTGATGTGTGGGAAGTGGCGTCGTCTTGTTGAAACCAAATGTCGCCGAGATCACGGGCTTCAATTTCAGGCATCAAATCATGGCGCCATTACGGCCGCTATTCACGGTTACGTTCTCACCTGCTTCATTTTTAAGAAATATAGCCCGATGATTCCAGCAGCCCACAAACCACACCCAACTCTTGTTTTTTCTTAATTAGATGGCGGCTCTTAACTCTCTTCAGGTTGCTCTCCATCCCAATTGGGGCAATTTTGCTTGTTTACATACCCATTGAGCCAAAAATAGGCCTTGTTGTTGAACAAAATTTTGCCAACGAGAAAGTCGAATCTTCATGTAACTTTCAAAGACCGATAAAGCGAAGCGCTTTCGGTTGGGAAAGTCGAGCGACTTCAGTTCTTGCACAAGCTGTATTTTGTACGTTTTCAATTCAATTTCAAGATCTCATCTTACACTAGTCCGAGTTGCTGCGAGCGGTGCCGAATCTACTCTCCACGGTTTTCGTCTACGCTATCAGGTACGGCCGCTATATTTGGAAAAAGTACCTCTACTTGTTTGTCAAGTTTATTCCACCCTAATGTTCTTTTCATGAGAATAAACCCCCCCCCATAATTACGCCAAGCTCACACCACTGCCACCACACCAATACAAGCATATAAAATATGATTACAAAACCACAAGTGGCAGCACTCACTGCGCCGTCGCGTCAACGTGAACAATTCGTCAGCTATCCAGGTAGCGCAAATTAGTTGAGGAATGATCAGAGTTTATGTTCGAACTTGGAATTAACACAACGGAACTTAAAAATGCTGCAACGCCACTTAAAGTTTGTAACACCGTTTAAGCTCGGTGTTGGCCACTCGCTTAGCAATATGTGAACGCTGAATACCATAATATTCTTGACGATGAGACGCCTAAATGGCTATTTGACTGGCTTACTGGCGTCGGGTGGAGAAGTATTTTTTAACTTTTTTGAACACTTTTTATTTTTTGTTTGTTTTTTTTTATTCCCATTTTCTTCACCGTAACTTTATGCTCGTTGCATTTTATGCGAAACGACAAAAATTTCTTTGAAGTTGCCGAATTCTCGACAACCGAGTGTATTGAGTGGTGATGGGCGTGGTAAATTTCCTTTGCAATTTCATTATAACAACAAAGGTAGATTAATTTGAAAAAAAAAACAACCGGCATAGTGTTATGTTGCCGTAAGAATTTTACATATGTATATTTCCATGTAGTATATGTACGAGTATATGTTTTGCGTATTTTAATCTCGGTTGAAAATGGTGTGTACAATTTATATATTATTTCTTTATTTACAAACATTCTTGAGTGTCGGAAAAATTCATCAGGTAGTGAGGTAGCGGTAAGTATTTTTTTGTAAAAAAAAAAAAAATATTCGAATGCCGAAAATCAGTTTTGGATATAAGAAATGTGTCTTACAAAAGAATATATCTGCGCGGAAGAGAGATTGTTTCCTAATTTCAAATGACATTGGGTTTGAGTCCACTTTACATTTTCGTCGCCCTCTTCGACTAATCAAAATTCTAAATGTGAATTAAGTAGGGGGTTTATTAATTTGAAGCCTTGGACGACTACGCATCGTCGTTATGGCTTCGTTATTGTTCTCAAACTTTGTAAAACACTCAAAGGTCCCACATTGAAATTCTCTTTAGCTTGCATAAAAATCTTTCGGAATTAGGGATATGATGAAGCATGACTAGTTTTTCTGAATTTCGCTGTTTTTATTGTAATAATATTTAATATTTTGATTTTTTAAACATCTTAATGAAGGGATACGTGTATTTATCATCTTACTTGAACATTTATTCAAATTTATAAAAAAAATTTTTAATAATAAAAAACTAATTTTTTATATTTATAACTAAGAGAAAACCGCTTTCCAAAAACCCGTTAGGAAATTTGTTTGTTATCACGAGCGTTTTAAAAAATGAATTTTTTACATCATTCTCCAACAGTTTATTCTTAATACATAATATAATTTAAAAATACATTTTAAAACTAAATAATTATACTTTTTAAAGATTTTCAAACTGAAAACCTTCTCAAACCACTTTCTTGACTAATTCCTAACCGAATAAACCAATTTTTTATACAATATGTAACCACATGTCTACATTTCTACAGATAAATAGTTGCTCATTGTTTGTCTAAGGAAATATTCTTAACTTAAAGTAAGAAAACGAATTTCGAATTGTTCAAAATGGTGAATTTAAAATCATTTGCCGTCGTCTACGATATTCGCCAATAGCTTGTTCGCCATGTTAACCGAAAAGTAAAAAATCTTTTATTATTAAAACACTTTTTTAAAAAAAAACATATGTGCTTCCAAAATTTGTCAAGGTATCTTCTTCAAATATCAACAAAATCCTGGGATTATATATTTTATCCGCTTAACAATTGTATTTAGGACGTATATAGGCTTATGTGCACAATAAACTTTATACACTTCCGTAATCATTTAAAAAATTTGTTGGATTCATACTATTTTCCAATTTTTACTTTACTCTCTCCATATGTTTTATGTATATTAAATATTTCCATACACATTAACATTCATTTATGCCAAAACCTTTGAGGCACTGGACAGTAACAGCTGCTCGGGTATCATATATGTACATGGGTATGTACGTTTATAAGTCTACTAGTCGCAGACGCATTTAATAAATCCTCATCTCATCGTTAATAACAAGCGCACAATTTTCCTAGCCGCTATAAACGGTCTCATTAGAGCGTCCAATTACTTACATAAAGGCACCGACGCATAACCATCTGCAATCTGCATATACATACATATGTACATTATAACAAATGCACGAGTAGCTTGAGCTGACGCTTACTTACTCGCTTCCACTACAAACTTTTGCCATACACAAACTTTACAACTCTTTAATTTTTTTTGTTGTGTTAACAGAAGAGCACCGCAGCTGTCATTTAGTTTAGTTACCTTACGCTGTGCTGATGAACGCCATAACTACCGTTAATGCACATAATCCACCATTGTAATTTTTTCAATGCCTTTCGCTGATTGGCTCTACCGACCTAACGAACGCCTCTCTGCGTTACGCAGAACGGCATATTGCTCACTCGTTTTAGCTACCATTTTGACAGCACAATTTATGAGTTGAAGAGTGCGATGGTGGTGAGTCGGCTGCAGCTATGAATATAAATGAGAAAACCGCATATGCCGCTCTAACTGCATATTTGCTATCCATGTCGCCTGCTCTCACATTTTCTGTGAGGCATTTGCGCTGTAAATGGCTCTCTCATAATACATACATGTATAAGTATATGTATGGGGTATCTGAACCGAGGCTTTCTTTTCATTGTAAATTTTTTTGATTTTTTTTATTCTTTGCATTTTTTGTACGCTCTTCTCTTTATGAAAAACAAAACTTGTTTTACTGGCTTGCGGACTCTACTCTACCTAGTTTGGTTATGCTAATGCCCACTGCTCTGCTACCTACCGCTGCTGTGTTTCGCTGCCACCACCACCACCGTTGCTGCTTCAGCTGCGGCTGTCTGCTCCCCCGTTATCGTTAGCGTCCTTTCTACTACTCGCTCGTTTGCTTAGTTAAGATTTGATTGTCGACTTGAAATGTCGACAAACAAGACACGACAGCACGAATGGAACATAGCGCAAGCTATGCAACAACAACACGTGATTTATATACATAACAAAGGTTGTTGGTTTCTACCATTGGTTCGTGACTGCGGAGAGAGAGAGCAGCTCAATGCGAAAGAATAAGAAACCAATTGAAGTGCTAGCACTGCACACACATGCATGTGTATGAGACGAGACCAACAACACCTCCATTGCCTCTACCATAATCAGAATCAGTCAACATCTCTCGAAAGATATGAGAAAAGGATGGGAAAAGAAATAAAATTAACAGCAACAGCAACAACAACACATTTGCTTGCTACATGATTGCGGCTGGAGAGAGTGTCGGCAAAAAACTCGAAAATCAACTTGTCTAGTTAGTAAACTTCAATCTAGTTTCGAACAGTTGACTGCGAAACGTTGAGTGAAAAGGTTTGGTTAGCGTTTTGTTAGTGTAAGTTGTGTTGTGCCGTGCATTTTGGCCAACAAAAAGAGTAGAAGACATACTTGCTTACTCGTAAATACATATGAATATTAAAACTAAATGTTAACAAGGAAACAAGTAAAAATTAACAAATAAATAAATATAATACCACAAGCACATAAAGCTAAATATAAAGTGAAATAGTGAAGTTGTTGTAGATTGGAATTTATACAAATAAGTACACATGCGCCTACATGCTTGCAAATAAAAGTACTTAACTCGCTAGCAGTGCAATTTTGTTGTGTCGTGGCAGTAACAACAACAATAAATAAACGAAGCGGCTAATCATCATCAGCGAGAATCTAAAGGAGAAGCGTCGTCGTTTTGGTTACTGACTACAGCGGCGCAGCGCTAACTAACTGATTTGCGATTTGATTGATTTCAATTTTGTACACGCTGTCGGCTGTGCGCTGTCAGTTCTCAGCTAACTGCAAACGAGTTTAGATGTTGACGGATGGAAATTAGTTGCCGCGCATGCATACATATTTAGTTGCAACGTTGCAAGTAAAATATATATTAGAAAAAAAGAAATAGAAATTAAAGGCAAACAATAAATAATAAAATAATATAAAAACAATAAGTATAAGAGTGATTAAATTAGTTTCCAATAATTATAAAAGTGCAACAAAACAATTCGCAAACGTTTCGTTCAAGTGAAAATACCTTAAACAAGTATACAAAAAAGAAAAAGAAGAAACAATTGAAAACATTTTAAAGCCCGCCGGTGCAGATAAACGCCGCCAGAACACTATTTAATAACACATACGCTTACGCAGAACATGCTTTGTCCGCTCACCATGCGTCCCGCAAGCCCTGCTGAATCAGAAATCTCCGTCGGTGGCGCACCCAGCCCACTGCCACACCATCAACAACAACAACAACACCATCAATTCTCGCACCAGCATCCATCGCTTTCACATCCGTCGCAACATCGCAACACAATCGATTTGTTGCAACATCAGCAAATCTTGATGCAACAACATGCGGCCGCTGCTGCGGCTGCGGCTGCTGCTGGTTTAGCGCGAACCGGCGGCGCCGAAGAGTATTTCCAGCCCCTCAAACGCTTACGTATGTCCAGTGAAATGGAAGAAACTACGTCTGGGAATCGTACACCCAGTCCAGCATCGACGCAAGGCGCTACATTACCAACAACACCGGCTTCCGCGACAACCACTGTGACCACAAATGTTGCTGCAACTGCCACAAACGTGAAGGCAAATATTGAAGGTGTTAAAAGCTTTTCGATTGCAGATATTTTGGGTCATGAAAAGCGTGCCACATCCAAAACGCCAACACCGCCACCGTCGTCGCAACAATCTGCACATACACCCTCAACACCTACGCGACCGCCGTTAAGTGCCAGCAGTTTGTTACAACCACGTGCCGAACCTCTGGATATGGTGAGTGCTGCTGCGGCGGCGGCCGCCGGTATGCCGCATCCAATGCTACTGCCGGGCGCACAAATCGTACGACCATGGGACCATCTCCTGGGTCCAATGCCGGTGAGACCGTTCATTCCATCAGCGTTGCTGCATTATGAACAGCGCTTGGCGTTGGATTATCATCGGCAATTGCAAGAACATTTTAATGCTCAAGCGCAACTCCTCCGTCATATGGGAATGGACATAATACCGTCAGAGAGTGGATCGGAACGTTCGAGTTCAGCGGCTAGTGATTGTTGTTCGCCGGAAATCGCTCGATCTTCTGGTGAACCATCTGCGGGTGCATCAGCAGCCGGTGTTGGTGGCAGTGAACGCGATAGGGAGCGTGATCGTACACATACCTCAACTTCGGTGAATAACAACGGTGGGAGTAATATGAGTGGTGGTGGTGGTGCGGGTGCAGGTTCCAATAGCGACAGTGCAGCGTCAAATGGCTCGAATGCGAAGTCAAAACCGAATGGCACGCCATTGGATGCTTTATTTCAGATGACAACAAAGGACTTTGATGAGTCACAAGGTGAGTTTCTGATTGATTGATATATAATTTTAAGCATTTTTTACCATGCCGACCTCTACATTTTGTCTCAAATTCATATACATATGTATGTACATGCTCAGAAGTAGTTTAAAATGCTTTAAATGTACTTTCACAGCCAATCTTCATAGAATTCATAATGTTTTTGTGACCAAAAGAGAACTGTATAGAGAATAGTACAGCATTCCGCTTCAATGTAAATCACTCTAACAGACTCATAAAAGGGTAGAAGATTGTTAGTGGTATATATAATATACAGACAATAAACCTCCACAAAGTGTGATTTGAGCAGTTAACCATGTTGCCCTCCATTTAAATCAACTTATTTGAATAAATCCAATGATTCCACAAACGTCACCTACACGCTCTGGCAATAGAGATTGGCGTGAAGGGCTCCGCTTCTATAAATGAAGAATCTCATTATATGTTATCTCTATAAATTAATTGTATAATAATCCTCTTATCTGGCCTATAACAGGCAGCTATTAAGACTTCAGCCCATTGCCTTTAATCAAGTATAAGTGACACCGTTGAACGTCTTCCGTAACTTTCTTCATACATATATTGGCGAATTAGACGGTTTCAAGCAGAACTTCTCTATCTTGACGCCCCTAGGAACAGCTGATCAATATTTACGAAAACCTTCTTAACTCATGTCAGAAATACACTCAGATTTATTGACGATTTTTAGCGAGAAGCAACATTATCTGTTCTTAATTAGATCTAAACAAGTTACTCTTCTTGAGTGCCACCAACCGAATCGATCAATATGACCAAGTGGCAATGGAGTAAAAGAAACCTTAGCTGAGAAATTTGTTTGCATGTTTGTAACTGTAAACCACGCAATAATTAAATGGAAGAATGTCCATGAAACTATGTAAATTATAAATAACAAAATTATATCGCACATTCACGTTCGTGGGAAAAAAGATTCTCTTAGAGTTCAGAGCAAAAGGATACCATAAAATATGTAAATATGTAAATATGAAGAAAATGAAACACATGTTAATAATAAAATGCAATTTGATTGATTATTTAATTCCTATAAAATGCATTTTTTATATAAATATATGAGGTGATAAGTGATTTTAAACATCCACATATACACATCTACTCGTAAGCACTTATTCAATTAAAAGAAACAATTATTCAGCTAATTAACTGCATACTCACATATAAACATATATACACGACGTACATGTGTATGATAATATAATTCATAAGAAAATAATATTAAATTCAATTTTTCACGCTTTTCTTATGCTGCTTCATATTCCCATGCACGTATTATTAGATTCATATAACCATATACGACTACTTACTTGTAAATACATACATATAAATATACATACATACATATGTACACATAAATATCGATGTTCATTTACATGTAATGAATTAAGCTCAACTAAATGGTGGTTAATTTGACCAACCTGAAATCAATAAACAGCCATTAACATCTGCCGATAGTATGTATATGTATATATATATGTGCATACATATGTATGTTTGTGCTGTTGAAATTCCATTAAACGTATAAGAATTAAATTAAACGTAAAAAATTTATTACCTCATTTATTTATCGCCATTTTGTGTGCTATTCGATTTAATTACATATTTTAATAGTTGAATTCTGATAACCAAGCAGACGTGGATTCAAACCAAAGAGAGTACACATTCATGTATATGTTAAACAATGTATATGTATGTATGTGTATCGATTGGCATTGATTTAAGCACAAATTCGGCCATCAGTTAAATTGAAAATTAATTTATGTTAAAAATTTTAGATTTTGGTTGAGTTTCAACATTTTTTGATATTTCATAGGATACAGTGAGCAATATTATTTAAAATTATTTAATTGCATGCAAAGCAACAATCGTTTAACTAATTTCTAGAGCAAATCAATCAAAAATATACAAAAATGTGTTTAAATTACTAAACTTCCAAATATTTTGAAATCTCCTAAATATAGCAAATCTAATTATTTAAGTTTTAGATTATTTGTTTTTTTTAATTCTATTTTATTTGTATATATGATTGGCGCTTTGTAACCGCTAAAGCGATTTTCGGCCGAGCTCCTCCTCCAATTTGAGGTTTTGCGTCTTGATGTTTTTCCAACAAATGGAGAGCCCTACAGTTTGTAGTAAGCCGTCTCCGAAAGGCTAATGGGTTTTTTTTTATGAGGAGCTTTATTTCATGCCCAAAATACACTCAAAGGGGTGGACATTCCCTGCCGAGTGGCGACCGCGATTAGAAAATTTAACTTAATTTTTTATTAAAATAAATTTTTCATAACTTTTGGGTGTTGGTCGCACGGAGATTAGAACCCGAGCCTTCCGAATGGCAGTACGCAATGCTAACCACTCGGCTACCATTTCATATTTTTCAATTTAAGTTATTTGATTTTTATTTATTTCATTTTATATTTTATTTTATTATTGCTTGGTTTTTTATTTTATTTTATTTTATTTTAAATTTTTAGTTTATAATTTTTTTCATTTATATTGTTTTATTATATACATACTAAATTTTATTTTATCTAATGTTTTAATTTAGTTTAATCTTTTATTATTATTATTTTATTATTATTATTATTATTTAATTTTTTTTATTTTATTATGTTGTATTTTGCTAACTTTTATTTAATTTATTTGATTTTATTCTGCTTTATTTTAATTAATTTTATTTTATTTTAACTTGTTTAATTCTATTTTTTTATTAGTTTAATTATATACCATTTTTTCAGTTTAACTGAATTTTATGTGTTTATTTACTTTATTCATTATATTGTTTTTTTTTTTTTTTTTAATTTTATTAGGTTCTCCTTTTTTTCACCATATTTAGTCACTTTATTTGTTTTATTAAATCTTTTTTATTTTTATTTCATTTCTTTTCATTTTCAATGCATTTATTTTATTCCGTTTTTTTGATTTTGCTTTAACAATTATTTTTCATTTCATTTTTTATCCTATTCTATTTTATGCGCTTAATTTAATTTAGTTTATTTGAATATTTTTTCATTGCATTTAAATTTTAGTTCATATCATTTTTAATTACAGCTCTAGTAAATACAAAGTGTGAACAAGCAATATCCGTTCAATGCAGTTTATTTAATATATTCATAATTGGAAAACACTAATTGCCATTTGCGCTGTCTACTCAATCTTTGTTTATATCTCGTAGAATATTGTCTACTTGTCTGTCTATAAAATAATTAAAAATACTCGCTTTGAACTCCTATATTTTGCATAATTGGATTTTGGCGCAATTGACGTGTCGCAACATCTAAATACCAATTTATCAATTTGTTGTTGAACAGTAAATTACAGTTTTCAAATTGATCCATGTTACACAGCTGGGGCTTATGTGTATATGTATGTGTGTATTCAAATCACTTTTAATCGCTGCAATTTGTTAATAAAAAAAAATGCAGTTGGGTTTGATAAACAAGCTTTATACTTTCATATTTAGTTATTATTGTATATACGTGTATATATGCATACATGTTCTGGCATGTGTGCTAATAAATAACTCGTTTAAATGTTGGAAATTAAAAAGAGTGTTACTTACTAAGTGACTTTACTCATCAAATTTAATTTAATTTAGTATATATTAGACAATGTCTTAAAATATGTTTGAGTTATGTTGGTATATAATTGAACTTATTTTAAGAGTTAAATTCAGTCAAATTGATTTTAAGATGAAAATTCACCAAATTTTCAACAGTGCCTACGAGTAAATATAAAAAATTTGTGTTTGGAAATTTTAAAAAATATAAAATGGATAAAAAATGTTCAATAGTTTTGTCCTTATTAATTTGTCTCAACGTTCTGGTCTATAATGGAATAAGACTGAATTGATATGGTTGACGGTCAATCCGGTTCTGTTTGTGGATCCATAGTAGCTACGATGGTGGCATCAACTTCGTATTTTAAGTAATGAATCCAGATGGGTTGTTGGTATAGCACTTTTCTTTAACGGCTTTATATTTCAATTTGACAAATGGCAATACTGTTGCAGCTGCCGTAGAAGACTGTCCACGATCTCAGTATTTCCCACTTTACGAAAAGGTCAAATCGTAAACCGTAGTTGAAAATGAAGCATCCACAATAAAGGGAAAAACTGAATCTTTCTCCGAATTAACAAAAAAAATTGAAATTTTTAAAATTGAGCAGTTGAGCAAAGTACGAGTATCGAGCTACTCACAAGAAGCTTAAAATATTTTAATTTTTTTAATTTTAATTTTTTTTTTTTGAAATTTAATCTTTAAAACTGAATTCGATTTAATTTTATATTCTTCATTGGCGCAACTTACCTATTGGCAAAGAATTAGTTTTATTTTCTTAAGTAAATCTCATCAACAAATTATAGCAAATTATCAAATCCTGGTGGCAAACAGAATAGAATAGAATAGAAAAATGAAATCTCGAATGTTCAGTTCATTAAAAAACACCGCCCCTTTGACTCAACATATTTGTTGTGAAACACACAAAAATTTAGTTAAATATTATATATACGCATTTGTATATGTAGCTATTTGTGCTAATTATAAGTACAAGTTTTCTCATTTTATTTCACTAAATATTTCGATTTCCGCTTCAATGCCGACAGCAATGACAACAATAAAGAAAGCTTTAAATGAGCTTTGATTAATGAACGACAACAAATTTATGGTAAAGAAAAAAAACTTATGTATTTGACAAAATGATATTTTGACATTTCGGTAAAATAAAGGAGAACATGAAAGAGGAGTTATCTTCTGCCGTGTCGAAGCCTTAAACCTTTCTCGCCCATATCAAAATTATGACAAATATCTAACGGCTGTTTGGAGGCTATGTGATATAGTTCTCCGATTTTATGATTTTACATGATTTTTGACGGATTTTTTTTACCAAAGTCCACCTACCTGAACATATCGGTTGTATAAGGGTCGTAAGATATAGTTTCTCGATTCCGTTCATTGGCACTGAAAATGTGT